TTTCCCCTTCCTTTTTGAATTTTGTCGCAAATTTGAGGGGGGGGGGGGCGGGGGGGGGGGGGGTTTTTTTTTTTTTTTTTTTTTTTTTTGTCTTGAAATTTTTTTTTTTTTTTTTTTTTTAAAACTAAAAAAGCTAAAAAAAAAAAAAAAAAACTATTTTCTATATAAACTAATTTTAAGTGCAAAATATATATAATCAGTAAATATATTTAAAAAAAAAAAAAATGAAAAAAATGAAAAAAAAAAAAAAAAAAAAACGCAGAATAGCCTTTTTTTTAATTTAACAAAAAGAAAGAAAAAAGAAAGAAAAAAGAAAGAAAAGAAGGAAAAAGAAAGAGAAAGAAAGAAAGATTAAAGAAATCTTTATTATTATTATTATTATTATTATTATTTATATATATATATAAACTACGAAGTGCGTGAAAATATATATATATATATATATAGATTATACCAAAGAAGGGGCCGGATTTTTAAACTTTCTTCTTTTTCTCTCTCTATGTTTGTTAAATGTCTATGACGTAGAGAGATTATTATTATTATTATTATTATTATTATTATTATTATTATTATTATTATTATTATTATTATTAATTTACGAATCGATTGCTTTTTTTCTAATTTTTTCTAATTTTTTTTTAACAAACAAACAAACAATTTATTGTCTTTCTTTTGATTTCTTTTTTTTTTTTTCTTTTTTTTCTTTATATATTTATATATTTAATTTTATTATTATTATTATTATTATTATCGGTTAGGTTTTTTATTTGAAGGAAAATGGAAAATGTGTTGTATAATTTTTATTTTGTTGACTAAATGATTAATTAATTTTTTTTTTTTTTTTTTTTTTTTTTTTTTTTGTTTAGAAATGGCAATTTTGGAAAAGTAAAAATGCCACACCATTTATTATTATTATTATTATTATTTTTTATTTGTTTTTTCTTCTTTACTATATATAGAGAAAGAGAAAGAGGAGAGGAAGGAAAAACAAAAAGGGGGGGGGGGGGGGGGAAAGAAAGAAATTTTAAAAAAAAGTATATATTTAATAATAATAGGAGAAAAATTATTATTATTATTATTATATCCGGGAAAATGAATGAATATAAAATATGATGACAGACAGAGATAGAGATAGAAAGAAAAGAATTTTTTTTTTTTTTTTTTTTGTCTCGCGCAAAAGCTTGTTCGTAGTAATAATAATAATAATAATAATAATTTTAATATCGTTTGATAAAGTATAAATTGTAGGGGGGTTTTTTTTTTTTTTTTTTTTTTTTTTTACATATATGCGTAGTTTCTAAAGAGAAAAAAAAAAAAAAAATGGCGACTATATTTTTGTACATTCCGTCCTTTTAGAGGCTAAGATATAAAAAAAAAAAAAAAAAAAAAATTCGTTGTTGCATCATACGAATTATAATAATAAAAAAATGGGGAGAGAGAGAGAGAGAGAGAAAGAGAGATAGAGAAAAAGGTTTCCTTTCTTTCTTTCTTTCTTTCTTTGATCATCTCCCCTTTTTTATTTTTAATATCAATTTTTTTTTTTAAATTCGAAAAGAATTAAATTAATTTACACAGACGCGAAAAGAGAGAGAGAGAAAAAAAAAAAACACGAAACGTGGTCAAGTTTTAAAGGAAGAGAGAAAGAGATAGATAGATAGATAGATGGAAAATGAAAAAGAAATCAAGTTGTCCCCTATTTAGAGATTTTTGTTTAAAAAAACTAAAATGTCAGATCTAAATAAAATTTCTGTTTTGTTAATGTGACGCAAGGTTTTGGAAAAATTATTATTAATAATTAAGGTTTTTTTGTACTCTTTAATAATAATAATAATAATAACAATTGAAATCAATGGACGAAAATGGAAAAAAGTTTTTTTTCTTATTTATTTTTATTTATTTATTTATATATATATTATATTATATTTGTATTTATTTAAAAAGAATGAGAAAAAAAACTTTATTTATTAAAATTTTCAATCAATCAATCAATCAGTGAATGATTCAATCGATAAATCGATAAATAATTTTTCAAAAACCTTTTTTTATAAAAACAGAAATTATTTTTTTAAAAATGAAATAATGATGATGATAATAATAATAATAATAATAATGATAAATTTTCAGTCGGTGACAAATTTTTATATGTATAAAAGAAAAAACTTGTAAAAAGAAAAGAAGATGGAGGTAGAAAAGAGAAAGAGAAAGAGATTAAGGCATAATAATAATAATAATAATGTCTTTTGTATAATTAATTATTTAAATTAAAAGAAAGAAAGAAAGAAAGAAAGGGAAAAAAATATATCGTAATGTATTTAATTTGATTATTTTTGTAAGGAGGCAGGAAGGCACGAGGAACGACTGAAATTTCTTTTTGTTTACTATACTTACTTTGTGTGTGAATGAATGAGTGTGAGCGTGCACGTGTCTGTGCACGTGTAATTTAGAATATGAATTAGTTGATAATATTTTTTTAACTCAGGTCGAGTAATTTCATTTGTTCCTCGTGCTTTTCATTCTAAAATTTTTATTTATTTATTTATTTATTTTTTTTTTACACGAGTTTAAAATTTATGTAATTTTACTCGTTGAAAAAAGTAAAAATAAATAAATAAATAAAATAAATAAAATAATCAATTTAAATACATTCTTATATAAATTACCAACATGGAGGAGATTAATAAATAAATAAATATATATATATATATTTATTAAGAATTATTAGTACAAAGAATTTTTTTTTTTATTATAAATGAATAATAAAAGAGGGCATAAAATAATAATAATAATAATAATAATTAAATGATTAATTAATTAATATCGTCTCTTTAAGAGATGTGTTGGGTGTGTGTGTGTGCGTGCGTGCGTGTGTGTTTAAAATGCGATCAAAAGTTTTTTATTATTTAAAAAGAGAAAAAAAAAAGAAAAAAAAATGTTGATTAGTCAATTTTTTTTTCTTTTTTTTTTTTGTATGAATTTTTTTTTTTTATATATATATATATATATAAAAATATATTTATATATTTATATATATATATAAAAATATATTTATATATTTTTATATATATATAAATAAGGGGGGGGGGGGGGGGGGTTTTAAAAAATGATAAATTTTTTTTCTTTTTTTTTTTTTTTTTTTTTTTTTTTTTTATTATTATTTAAATAAATGAAATTTATTTTTGATACTTGTTGAAATAAAAAGTATATATATATAAAAAAAAGAAAAAAAAAAAAAAATTATTTAAAATATTTGTTATTTTTTTAATAATATAAATTATTGACATTTAAATAAAAAAAAGAAAAAAAGAAAAAAAAAAAGAAAAAAAAATGTTTAAAAAAGCGCGCGAAAAAAGACTTTTAATTATCATTATCATTATTATTATTTTTTATATATTTTTTTTTTTTAATTATCAAGAAGTCATTTCGCGTGCGGTGAAAAAAGGAGACTTTTTATTTTTAATTTTTTTTTTTTTTTGCAATCAACAGTTTAAAAAACTCTGAATTTTATTATTATTACTATTATTATTATTATTATCATTATCGATTCATAAATATTTCAAATCAATTATTTTATTTATCATTATTCATTAATAATAATAATAATAATAATAATAATAATAATAATATTAATAATATTAATAATGGGTCTTCATTTATTCACTTGTTAAATATAACAAATTTTTGGTCGCTTTAATTAAATATTAATAATAATAATAATAATAATAAGTAATTAATGTAAATTTTTTGTAATACTATTCGGTCACAAGGTCAATATTTGAAAGGGGAAAAAAAAAAAAATTATTTAATTATTGTTTATAAAAAAAAAGACAATCTCGAACTTTTTTTTTTTTTTTTTTTTTCTCTCATTATGGATTTTTGTGCATCTCACTCACTCACTCATTTGTTGTAAAACATTTTTATACATAAACAAAACAAAAGCGAAATTTATTATCAAAACAAAACAAAATGTCGGAAGTGAGTCGCTCAATAATCCAAAAACAAAAAAAAAAAAAAAAAGAAAAGAAAAGAAAGAAAAAGATTATAAAACACAAGCATAAATATTTATGTATAAAAGTCCCTCCATATAAAAAAAAGAAAGAAAGAGATAAATCGAAAGGTAACATTCAATTAATATAGTATAACACACATCATCCATCAAATCACAAGCAAACAAACAAACAAACAAACAAGCAAACAAACATCATGTTGTCTTTGTTGTTATTTAATTTTAAATATTCAAATCTATGCATAATAACAATCGAAATCTAAATCAAAACGAGTGTGTAAAATTAAAATTTTTTTCAATATAAAAATTCATTATATTATATATATAATATATATTTGAAAAAATTTTTAATTTACAATATATATGTAAAAAAAATGGTTACAAATCAAAAGAAAACATTCATTTATACATGTATAATAATAATAATGATAATAATTAATTAAGAAACAAACAAACAAACAAACAAACAAACAAAAACCGACTGTTTTAAAACGATAATTTTTAAATCTTAACATGTGTATGTTGTTTTAAAATAACAAAAAATTATTATTATTAATTATTTATAATAATAATAATAATAATAATAATAATAATTAACACCTGTTATAATAATAATAATAATTGTTGAAAGAATAATAAGTTAACATCAACAACAAAAAAAAAAAACCGACACACAAAAACATAATAAACAATTATTCCATAGGGGAAACGCTATTATTATTATTATTTATTTATTTATTTATTTTATTAATTGTCTTTATTTTTTACAATGTAAATAGTAGTAGTGTTGATGATGATAATTGTAACAAGAACATAAACA